GTAAAATAGCAAAGAGGCAGATATTTAAAGAATTTAAAACAAAAGGACACAACCAAAAGTTGCTTGGATCGCTATGACAACACACAAGGAGGAGTTAAAATCAAGTGCATTTTGTTCAAAAGAACCAGGACTTTTGATTTCATGATTGACAGCCAGATAGACCAATCGTTTGTGTGCCTACTAAATGTACTGATCGGTTGTCAGTGAAGATTTTACCGACTCGTTCAGAGTTAGCGACCGCCTAATTTACAGGAGACATTTGCACCCAGCGATATCGTTGTACATTGCGTTGTGATTTTCTTTCAGAAGAAATGATGTATGTTTGAAGCTGCTAGTCTCTGGTTAGACGGGCACCTTTCATGATCAATTAAGAAGTTCAAAGAGTCTTTGAGAACATGTCAGAAGATCTAAAATCTAATGTTTCATCAAAAGCCAGTGCCTGAAGTTAAGTTACGAGCAGAGTTTGATTTGAACATCAGAATCATTTGTGATTATATCAAAAAATATTGACCAGTTTCACAATAATTTACAGATGTAAACATACATTTAGCACATTTAGAAATCATTATTAACTCTCTCTAGACGCTCAGACGCTGAAAGCTCAGCTGAGCTTCAGTTTGTGTATTTTACAACTTGTCAATGATGACGTGATCAGTCAGTCATCTGGTTTGTGTTGTGCCTTTAAGTTGTGATACTTTGGTTCTGTTTCCTGGTTTGGGCCCCTCAGTTCCCATAATTCAGCAAACTGATATCTTGGACAATAGCTGTCTTCTAACTTTGTGTCAACAGTTTGTCCACTTCCTGTTTTAACATGACACAAATCAGCGAGACACAAAGAACCTGATCAACCCGATCCAACAGCTTTGGGATGAACTGGATCATGAGCCAGACCTGATAACCCAACATTAGTGTTGGACCTCACTGATGCTCTACATCTGGTGGAAATACATAAACACAGAGTCTGTTAGAGAAGTCACAATCACATGTTCACCTATCACATACGGGCCTGTTAGGGATGGTGAGACTAACATCGGTGCTCCAGCATAAAAGTTCAAGATGAGACTGGTCCGAATAAAAAAAAAAAAAGGTGTACCAGTTATAATTTGTCATGAACTCGAGATGTATCATTTCTAATATCTCTGCATCTGTAAAAATCCGATTTATTCATATACAATTATAATTAGAGTCCACATGCCAATGTGACCAATCGTATGGTATAATAGTGGTTACATTACATTTAGACTGAAGTGTTTCTCTAATCTCCACCACTGTCAGCTGCTGCGGAGGTCGAGGTGTGTCTCTCAGATTAACACGGAGGATGAAGAGTTACATGTTCCCCCGGATTCCTACAAATAACAAATGTTTGGGGACTGGATTTTTCGAGAGAGACAAGATGCCTTCAGTTGGCACAATATGCCGCGTATAAAGTACACTGACAGCACGACTAGCAAAGTATTGCATCTTCCTAAAACTGTTTTAACTGTTAAATGTGTGAGAGGATATAAATGTGTAACTGGAGACAAAGAGCAGGAAAGAAGGACTGCTTTAAAACAAGGTCCAGGCCCGGTTTTATTCTCTCTTTTGTCAGATACATTTTTTAGAGTGAGTTAAAGTACTAGAGAAACAAATATGTTATGTCATTTATGGTTTACTTTATGATTAATACATTCAAATCAAACTCTCTAAACCACATTCCACTCTGTAGCTTGTGCTTATACTTTTGCATCATGCCTGTGACGGACCACCGTCACTACGGTTGAGTATGCGCTGCGACTGCCATACCAACAAGCATTGCGGTCAAGTTGCATGTTTGGTACCCTGTAGGCCCGGATTCAAATCCAGGTGGGGTGACTGCTCTTGCCCCTCCGTCACAATGCTGTGTTGAATTGTAGAAATGGGGTGAATCGCACAGTTCTGCATTGGTAGTTGCTTCATTTGTACCTTTAATGTATCACATTGTTGGCAATGCATCGAGATGCTCATCCCTAGGGTGTAATGTTTTGGATGTCTTCATACTTTTGGTCATGTTGTGTAATGTATCTGGTTAAATGAAGCAGAAAAAGTCATGATTGTCTTAACGACAGACGGCTTCAACTTCTGTACAGTCGAACTTTGGGAGTCCTCGTGTGTGCAGACAAAAAGAGAGAACGGGACACCAAAAGAGGCATAAAGACAAAAGAATAATGACTGACGGGATGTAATTTATCTCCCTTTATCCTCCATGACAGAGGGAGAGAGAGAGAGAGGTTGTGAATGTGTTGTTTCACCTCGCTGTCCGTCAGTCTGAGCAGCACAAAGGCGACATCGTGACAAACGATACAACAGACGACCTGCAGCTCTCACACTGATTAATGGACACACACTTGTTCCCAAGCTGTCTGCATGTGATGAATGTTAATCACAATCTTTCATCCGCAGTGTGTGGGAGTGACGCTGAACCTGCTGTTTGTGGGAAACAAGCTGGTGTTGAATCATTAAAGGATCCGTTCATCCCTCCGTGCAGATGGTTTGGGTTTCACTTGTTTTCTGTCTCCACACAAAAACTGGAGGTGACTGCAATTTAGCTTGTGCTGCTCGTTAAAAACATCATGAATCAATCAAACAGCAAAGTCTTTTCACAAACTAGATATTCTGCTAAGAAAGAAAGTGGGTGAGTTTCATAAGAACAGTATTTTCTATTGAAGAAATAAGTTTGTATGAACTGTTGACTTAACAGTGACGTGGGTGAATTAAAAAAAAGATAAACTCACGAGAAAAAAGATTTTTTTGATTTGTGTGAGCTGGCCTTCAAAGGGAGCCATAAAACAAATGAGAAAAGGGGGCGGAGCACGAAAGTCTCTTTACAGAGTGTTTGATCATCATTTACATTTTAAGATCTTAAATTAACAACATATTTCAGATTTCTGTAGAGCCGATCATTAAAAACGTCTTGAAATGTTGATCAATAAAAACAACAAACTCCAAATACTGGAGGAAAATATACGCAAAGTTCTTAAATAAAAATAACCACAAATTCAGACTAAATTCACTAAATCAATTAAAACCGACTGCTGGAGAAGCTGCTGTTTCTCTACCCAGTACAAAAAAAACCGCTGGCAAAAACTTGAATCCACAATTGTAAAAAATCTTTTGAATTTAAACATAAGTTACAACATAAAATGTATGATTTTAGGAAAAAAAAAAAAAACCTCTTGAAACAGACTAATATTCACCTGGTGTCTTTGGACTAGAACAACATGATGCTACAGAGTGCAGCCTTGAGAAGAAGAATTAATGTCTAACTGACGACTAATTGGTTACTCGGGTTATCAGTCACATCAACCAGCTGATCCTCCCATCACTAACATTCACTTCAATACAGCTAAAGTATTTATTTCACAACAAACATGGAGCACACGATAAATTTGGCACATGACGAAATTGATAACATATTGTGTATTTAAGATTATAGATTCTGAATTTTATACCTGTAATGTGCAATTATACATAATACTTCTTATGCACACATTATTAATACCTGTACTGTAGATCAATATTTTTGGAGTCTATATTACCTCTAAACTACATTAAAAACAATGTAAAAAAAAATGTCGGCTGTGGATTGTTCCTAATGTAATGTTAGTTAGCTAACGCTAGCTAACTTCCTACTGAATGTAACGTAATAATGCCCTATTGTTCTGCTTTTTTAATGATTGTAAAATATGTAATAATAATAATAATAAAGTATAGAATAGAGGCCTACCCAGCTGTACAGGAACAGTGTTGATCGTTCATTTCGTTGTCTTTTGTCTTAATCGTCGGGGGATGCGGTGGTTCACTTTTACTCTGTGATTGGTGGGCTTTAACTTCTATCTTTCATTTTTTTCATGTCCATTTGTTTAACTTATTTTTTATTTGTCCTGGAATCCACATTTAAGCCACGCTGTTGTTACTACGAACAAGAAAACAAATGGTTTTGAGCTGTCATTAATGCTTCAGAATATACACACAAGTTTCTGTCTTGCTGCTGTCGACACCTTTTGCTGCTCGGCTTCCTGTGAGACATTTACTGGTTAACAAGCCTGAGACACACACACACACACACACACACACACACAGATCTTATTGAAGTAATGCAATTCCTATACCTTAACCATCACAACTGCATGCCTAAACTTAATCCAATTGACCCTTCGCTAAGCCACGCCATGAATACACAGCTGTTCAATCACAGCGCAGTATAGGACTCTCTCTAACTGATGTCCGACACTTTCATGGCTGCGCTCCATTGACTCCTATGTAAAACACTGCGTTTTCTAGCTTGTTTTTGCTGTATTTTTCCAAGATATGGTCAAACACTGTTCCTGGGTCACTTGTAATAATTACAATTGCTACCCAGAAAGGATGAAAGGAGAAGTACGACTTATTCCCTTTCCAAAACAAAAAACGCTAGCTAACTTACTACTGAATGTAATGTTATGAAGCCCTACTGTTCTGCTTTTAATGATTCTAACAGTGAATAGAGGCCTACCCAGCTGTACAGGAACAATGTTGATCCTTAATATCGTTGTCTTTTGTCTCAGTCGTCAGGTGATGCGGTGGTTCACATCGACTCTGATCAGTAGGCTTTAGCTTCTGTCTTGGTTTTCTGTCAAACTGATAAATACTGAAACCAAAACTGAAAAAAATAAACTTCAGATGTATAATACAACTGCAAAACGGTCTGCTTCTTTCTGAGATCGTTTTTTTTCAAACAATTAGACAATATTTCTCCAGGGAGTGCAGTAATAGACAGTGGCAGCACCGTGATAAAACTCCGACAGTTTGTCGGACTTAGCAACAGTAACTATGCGGCGCGTGGCTTAGCGTAGGATCAGTTGTAACCTGAGTCCTAAAACCACGTCTTAACCCTCAAAAAGCATGTCTACCTGTCAGGACACGAGTCCCCATTGGCTAGTGTCTCCTACCAGGATGTAAAAACATGAAAACACAGAATCAACAACATTAACTTTAAACAGACGTTTTGTTCAAGAAAATATTTTTAATCTCTTCAGTTTAGTATCTACAAGATCATACAGAAAACAACTCACTCTTTAAATGCATTTAATGATTTTCTTGAGTGCAGAAAGCAATCAATAATAAATCAAATATAATATATATTTATAAAGAATTAGAAAAGAAGGCAAAGTGATTGTTGATTCTTCTTTACAACATGCTACAGTTTACAATTTACATTTTGAGTCATCTAAGATCTTTAATTACAAATAATCTCTGAGCTTAGTACAGTTGAGTTTCAAGTGTAAAGTTAGAATTGAAATGGACGAAGAGAAATAACTTGTAAAGAAGTGTTCAATTTGAAGTGATGCTCCCTTTCAATAAAAACACAGTGATACAAAAAGCACCTGTGGCTCCACAATGAGGACCGTCCTGCAAAAAAACGTCACCTGAAAATCCGACACCGTGACACTGTGTCGTTTCCGATGCAGTTCGGACATTTTGAATAATGCATTGGCGGTTCGGTCGCAAAAAGAGACGCAATAGAAAGGGTCAGCGGTTCAATAACAAATAAGCAAAGTTCAATAAGATGCCGATGAGCAAGGCACTGCAGCTATTAGTTGCCATCATGAGCTCTTTCCAGACACGGGAAACGCAACATTGTTGGCTTCATTTAACTGTTGAAGTGATGGCTTTTTGTCTTTCATGACAGGAGACCTTTACTCAAATGTTCCTTAACAAATAACCCCACAATGCTCACTTGATATATTTGGCAGCTAGTGCTTAGAGAGGAAGTGGTGTTGATGCTGGAAAACAGCTGTGAGTTGAAAAGTTTAATTATTTAAGGAAAAATGGCTCACTGATATTAATAACTTATTTTGCAGTTGAAGCTTTAAGTAATGACCAGCGTGAGCTGATGGTTTTCGAGAGAGACATCTGCAAGAACTTATTTTTAGTTAATATCTTTACTGCAGCTGGCCATTTGGACATAAGTTGAAACTATGAGGAAGGTTTGATTATTACAGAGCAGACTGATCTGACATGATAAGAATCTCCTGAACAAATCAGCTGCTCTTTAGTGTGTCATAGCTTATTAAACTGATTTTCTTTGAGCACAGGCGATGATACCTGCACAGTGATCTTTCTCTCTGTGTATGTAACCTGGTGCTGTTGCCTTCACGTTAACCTGATGCCATACAATTCAGACTTGAGTTCTGTTGAAAGTGAAATGTTACTAGGTTCAACCTAGTAAGACTGCTGTTATGACTTATGTGAATAGTCACTTTTACATACAAGAGGCAGACAAGTGCAACTGACCTCACATTTAATTAAAGAGTGGCATGTCTAAAAACGCTGCTATAGAGTTCAATAACAATAACAGATTTTCTCCCAACTTACACAATTTGAAGCTTGCTGTTGTCTCCATTAGTAGATTTAAGTGTTAAAAGGAAACATTTTCTCTGGTGTTCCACAAGGCTCAATGCTTGGACCTGAAAAAGTTAAATAGCACTGGATGGATTAAACTGAGTTTTGGGGCAGACATTTGTGGTCATCAGTGTCTCAAAATAATGAAAGCAACTCAGATTAATATTTCAGAGTTTGACCAAAGGTAGTCAAAAAACTTGAGCTGCTTTACGTCCAACTCAAAATAATTTTTACTATAAAAGTTGTGACGGACATTCATGCTCTTCAGTCTCTTAAAATAAGAAAGGAATACAAGCTCTTTCCTTGACTGATCTGGCAGAGTTTGACTGAGAGACTGAACCTGAACTGCTTTAACTTTAAATTTGGTGCCTTCATGTTTCTATTGTTTTCAGAATAATAAAAGCCACACTGGTGTCGTAAAAGGTTCAATGCTGGGACACTTTTGGGGGGAGATGATGGTAACTTAATATTCAGGTTATCTAATTGAATTACTCATTTTCCTATTCATTGTAAACTGCGAGATAATATAACTACTGGCGTATGTATTTGCACTTATTTCCCATCGTCAACCGCTTATCCTGTGTACAGGGTCGCGGGGGGGCTGGAGCCTATCCCAGCTGACATCGGGCACAAGGCGGGGTACACCCTGGACAGGTCGCCAGTCCATCACAGGGCCACACAAAGACGAACAACCACTCACGCTCACACTCACACCTACGGACAATTTAGAGTCACCAATCAACCTAGTCCATTTTAGTTCTAATTTAAAGAAACTTGATCATTGTCAAAAGTGGACAAAAAGTCATACCGATAGCAGATGATAAAAGCACCTTATATATGAAAAGACTATAATATATTTCTTATAACTCAGCGTCTCAGATTAATGTCCTTATGAAGGTCGGTATGTTACACTGGCCTCTTCTGCTACTTTAAAGAAAAATAAATTGAGCATTGTTTGATGATGATGAGGATTTCCCAGAGGTCGGATGTGCCAGAGCGAGGCTCAATAACAATATGTGCTAATTCTGAAAACTTATGTTTAGACCCAGATATTGCCTGAAGCAAGGTCTGATATTTATTCATCATAGACAAAAGACAGCACCCTAATTACTAAAAGATGCTCAAAAAATGGGCAACATTTGATTTTCTACGCACTCACGGCTCATTGCTTTTGGGTAAACATTAAACAGTCTGTTATTTTGGGGTTGAATGAAGAATTGGATGAAGTGTTTCTCCAAATAACTCACGCACAGTGTTGAAAATATTTGCTGGAAATCACGAGGTTGGATTTCTGGGAATGTGCGGGACAGATCTTTTGCTCTCAAACCGCATCTGCATCATTAAAATGTGACCGCATTTTCACATTTCATATAAAGTGGTGAAATCACAGCATGGGTCTTTTTACAATTTGGGAAAACGAAAACAGGAAATGAGCGGGAATTTATATTTTAACACCTCACTCTACACTGAGCACTTCTTTTCTTTTCCCCTTTAATTGGTCTGATTTATACTCTTGCAACTCTGCTTTCAGTTCATGTCTGAAAGGATTTATATGTTGTCATTTATAATGGTTTGACTGTGTGTAAAAGTCTTTAAACGTCTGTTTAGAAGACCATTGTTTAGTTACTGTTCTAAGCAGACTCTCTGATGTGGCTTTTCTCTGGGTTTGGTTTCACCCATTTGAGGAAAGGCTGAGCAGAAATCCAAAGAGCCAGCAGAGAGTTGGAAATCCAAAGAGGAAAAGAGTCAGATGGTATTTTTTTCTTCTTCCCTGATTAGAGAAAACTGCAGCGGCATGAGGGAAAGATCTGAGAAAGGGGGATGTGATTCACAGGAGGTGGGTGAGATGAATTTTCAGGCACGGAGGAAGCTGTGGAGTGACTGCAGCTTCAGTCTGTTTGCAATTATGGAGAAACAGATTGGAAGCCAGAGAGCCGGTTTGGTGGAAGGAGACACACATTCCTTATGGGCGGCGAACACGGGAGGCAGGTCGTGTCGAGGTGAACGAGCCGGGGGAAACCAGCCGTCGCCCCCGACCTGAGGCCTGCGAGCTTGTGTCTCCTCTAATGTCTGACTGGAGCGTCTCGCAGCCGTGGTCTATACCTTTTTTTGTTTACCCTCTGAGAGAAAGCAAAACCACTACTCTCTTCTTCTTTTGAGGAAGTCAGAGGTTAGGGGCAGCTCCCCAAAAGCTGGTACGAAGCTGGAGTCCAGGTTGTGACTAGAACATTGACCCCCTAAGAATGTTCTCCATGACCAAACCTGGTCTGAGTTTGCATGACTAACCGTCTCCGTTCATATTAACTCATAGAAGGTACAATAATGCTCCTGTTAAATGATTGTTCCAGTGATTTAGTCCATGAGCTTCAAATCATTTCATGTTACTGAAGAACATTATCCTCGGGGGTTCTTACATAAAACTGTCTTGATTTTGCATTTAAAGGATAAGTCTGGTTTATTATAACTTCAGCGCTCATGTTCTTAGTTCTGTCAGTAATAACGACGTTTATTTGGCAGTCAAACTGAAAGTGGGCTCACCTGAAATGTCACTAATAAAGTATAATTATAGGAAAACTGCACGCACAACCACGGTAAGTATGACAGGTCAATGTGAAAGCAGGAAGTGCGTCTATATACTGCGATGGATGTTTACAACAGATAGTGTGGGTGATCATTTTACTGATCACCTTTATTTTCACTTCTGAATAAATTTGTATGAACTGTTGGTTTGTTTCTAACTAATCATTTGACTGCTTGTGTTTCTTCCCCCGTCAGACGATTTCAGCGATGTCATCAGATCTCTGATATGAAACTCAGCATGACATTACCGTACCTACAAACAATATAAGTTGTAATTAACTAGAATTAGCCTTTGAAGATGTTCCTTATGCTCTTTTGCTGTTTCAACAAGCCGCTTTAAAGTGCTCTGGTGGGAAGAATGTGCTTCAGACACCATCTAAATAATGAGTATCCCTCCGTTAGCCTTCAGTAACATATTGACAGCTACTTTCTCCAAGTACTTGAGATCCGGGTGAAGAACTTGACACGATATTGATGTGATAAACATAAATGTTTACCTGAGAGATTGTATGTGAAATGTACGTGAAGCAGCTAAATTCTCTGTTACTGAACTACAAAAACACACACGATTGTGGAGGGGTGTTACGGGCTGATATGCCTTTCCCTCACAATCTTTGCCACAAGTTTAATTTTAACCTTTACAATTACACACGTTTTACAGCAGCTGGTTTGTTATTTTAACCAGCAAAAGCGACGGTCAATACCACCTAAAACAAGAAGCTGGCACATTTTTTTTGTGCATTGATCTTCCCTAATAAAAAAGAGGGACGAGATTAAAGGTTTGATATGAGATTTGTTAGATTCTGAGTTTAATTAATCCAGGTGGAAACTGGAACCGAACCCAAAATGGAACGGCCTATAAAGACCCAAACTTAACACTGAGGAGGGGAACGTTTGAACATGGGAGATAAATTATCTTCCGCTTATCCGCGGTCAGGTCACGGTGGCAGCAGGCTAAGTAGGGTACTCCTGACATCCCTCTCCCCAACAACGCTTTCCGACTCCTCCGGGGGCATCCCAAGGCCTTCCCAGGCCACATGGGATATGTAATCCCTTCAGTGAGCTCTGGGTCTAACCCGGGGTCTCCTCCCAGTTGGACACATGCCCTGAAAACCTCCAAAGGAAGGCGCCCAGGAGGCATCCTCATCAGATGCCCAAACCACCTCAGCTGGCTCCTTTCGATGCAAAGCAGCGGCAGCAGCTTTACTCCGCGCTCCCTGCGAATGTCAGAGCTCCTCAGCCTCTCTAAGGCTGACCACAGCCACCCTACAGAGGCCATTTTGGCCACTCATGGACGTATGCTATCGTATGTTGAGGTTCCTTCAGGTGAAACTGTTTTATTTGACAGTTTCCTGAATGCTCTCTTTTGTTTATCAGTGTGGATAAAATCCTGCGACTCTGTTACATCTCACAGATTATAAAGCCCCTTGAAGCTGATGTGTGATTATGGACTTCACTCAGTGCACCAAATATAAATTAAATTTTCTTGTTTTCATCAGGTTTTCCCTTGTTTGGGTTGAGGACTAAACAAATCTTTTTTTTGATATGATCCATCTGGGTTTCTATGGAGGGAAAAGTCTCACCGGGGAGTTTTCTTTGCTTTCAGTCTCATTTCTTCTTGTAAAGGGTTTTTTATGTCTGCCTTTCCCACAGCTCTCTCCCTCATTAACTCCTCCTTTCTCTCAGTGTCTCTCACCCAGCCACTCTCTCTCTCTCTCTCAGTCCACCAGTGACTTGACGTCAGGCAGTCCTCTCAGCTTCAAATCCAGCAGCATCTGACCGTAGGCTTTACCCTGAGAACAGAGAGGAAAATAAAACAACGCAAGCATAAAGGCTGTGGTCATCCTTACAAGGAGAACAACATATGTGTTTCCACCTTAACATGTTTGAATTTACACATTGTGTGCGTTTGAGCTTTATGAGTCAGGGCCCGACTGTGTGAGGTGTTTGTGTTAGCACATTGTGAGTGTGCAGGAGCAGTATGTGTGTGTTTCTTTGATGCTTTGCTGTGGATTCCAGTGAGGTGGTAAAAAACTTCACCGGAGCGTCTGAACAAGGGATGGAGAGGAGAGGAAAGGAGGAGGAGGGTGAAGGAGTGCTAAAGAGGACCAAAAGGAACTGGTTTCTGATGTTGCCACCATGAAGAAGAGGAACAAACCAGTTCTTTCCAGGCTGAGTTTTATGTTTTGTTGGGAATACATGCTTTACAAAGTCTTAACCGCGCAACATCAGAATCAGCTTCATCAGGTTTTCGTTGCTCTCAACACACAAAGCTGAACAAACATAGGTAAAACAAAAAACAGAATTATTATGTACATACATAGAGAGAGAGAGAAAGCAACAACGACCAACAACATGCAATGTTTTTATACTAGTTGAGTGTTCTGTACATTGTAAACAACGGGAAATGTAACATATTACAACCCCAATTCCAAATAAGTTGGGACGTTGTGTAAAACGTAAATACAAACAAAATACATTCATTTGCAAATCCTTTTCAACCTATATTCAATTTAATACACTATAAAGACAAGATATTTAATGTTCAAACTGATAAACTTTATTGTTTTTTGCTGACGCAAAGTGGAAAAGTGTGCTGTGGTCTGACAGGTCCACAATTCAAATTGTTTTTGGATATTATGGAAGTTGTGTCCTCCGGGCCAAAGAGGAAAAGGACCATCTGGATTGTTAACAGCACAAAGTTCAAAAGCCAGCATCTGTGATGGTATGGGGGTGTGTTAGTGCCCATGGCACCATTAATGTTGAAAGGTACATACAGGTTTTGGAGCAACATATGCTGCCATCCAAGCAACGTCAAGACAATGCAAGCCACATTCTGCACGTGTTACAACAGCTTGGCTTTGTAGTAAAAGGGCGCGGGTACTAAACCGGCCTCCCTGCAGTCCAGACCTGTCTCCCACTGAAATTGTGTGGAGCATTATGAAGCGCAAAATAAGACAACGGAGACCCCGGACTGTTGAGCAACTAAAGTTGTACATCAAGCAAGAATGGGAAAGAATTCCACCTACAAAGCTTGAACAATTAGTGACCTCAGTTCCCAAATGCTTATTAAGTGTTGTTAAAAGGAAAAGTGATGTAACACAGCGGTAAACATGCCCCTGTCCCAGCTTTTTTGGAACATTTTGCAGGCATCACATTCAAAGTGAGTGAACATTTGCAAAACACAATAAAGTTTATCCGTCTGAACATTCAATATCTTGTCTTTGTGGTGTATTCAGTTGAGTATAGGTTGAAAAGGATTTGCAAATCATTGTATTTGGTTTGTATTTACGTTTTATACAATGTGCCAACTTTATATGAATTAGGGATGTACTTTATAAACATTAAGTAGGTGGTTATGTACAGCAGGTGTACATGTCTAAATACAGAATATCCAACATGCAGGATTTGTAGGTGGACAATATGTACATGTTAAAGGAGACCTGTTATACTTCTTTCCCAGTCCTATCTTGTAGTTCTGTCACTCCTGTGTGGCAGCTTTGTGTGGCAGCTTTGCATAATTCAAAGTTCAACACAGAATAATTTTCTGTGTTAAACTGACTCTTTATGAAGGCCTTCATTTCAGCCTCTGTCTGAAACGAGCTGTAGATGCTCCTGTCTCTTTAAGCCCCCCCTCTCAAAGACGACTGTCTTCTGATTGGCCAAGACCTGAAGCATGTTACCAGGCTGTTGTTGCTGCTGAGCAGAACAGGCAGACTGAGCGTTGCTGTGCCGTTGCTGTGGGAGCAAATGACCATTTATCTAGCTCAGGATGTCGTAGAACAGAGCCGTCTGAGGTTTTTGCTCACAGTGATTTCTTTTAAATACTTTAACCTCATTATTTGAAGCTTTGGCCATGTTTAACATGAACATCCAACATTGTAGATAAGTCATAAAATATGGAAAAGCATAATAGGTCTCATTTAAAGCACAGTGTGTACTTTAAACAGTAAATATATAATGGCAAGAGTGATATTTGCACTGTATCTGAACTGGGAACAGTGAATGTTTTCCCATGCATCACAGGATATCTGCAAAGATTCAACTTCCCCACGCTGAGCTGCTCGCTGCAAAACAGAGTTACTGGACACATCAGAAAGAGGAAGAAGCAGATGAAAGAATGAAGCTCCAGAGTTAAGAAAGAGGAGAAAGTCAGTAGTGTGTGTGTGTGTGTGTGTGTGTGTGTGTGTGTGTGTGTGTGTGTGTGTGTGTGTGTGTGTGTGTGTGTGTGTGTGTGTTGTTACCTGGGGGTCGCTGCGTAGAGACGCCACCCCTCCCCCTCCCAGCGAACTCTGCAGGACAAAGTTGAAGCCGTGGATCCCCGGCAGAGTGTATCTACAAACCAAACAAAAACAAAAACACAACCACACCCTTGTAACCACGGCAATGCAAACTTTCATACTTTGTAAATGTGCTTCACTGTAAAAAACACACACACAGCCTGCCAGCACAGCAGGGGTTTCTTGCACACGATGTTTTTGACGTTTGAATGAGTTGGTTGTCTGGATCCACGTGGTTTGTGAGTTCAGTGTGTGTGTTTTTAGCTTTTCTGTGAGATTTACAAGAAGTGTGCGTCAGTGTGTGTAGTTAACCACACTGAGGCAGCATGAGTGTGTTTGTGCACATACGTGTTTGCAGTTTCACAGAGGGGGGAGGGGATCGTGTGTGCATGCGTGTGTGAGAGAGCAGTTAAATGTGTGTCTCTGGGCCTCCTGAAGGTTTAACGAGCGGTTGAGGTGCACTAATGAAGCGTCTGTGGCAGCAGGGAGGGGGTTCAGGGTGTGAGAGGAGATGCAGGTCAACGAGCTTTACAGCCTCCACCTCTTCATTACGCTAATCGCTAACACGCCGCGCGCCGAGTCATCGCTCAAACATGTCCGCCAGCTGTATTCAACCATTTCCCCATGTCTTCCATCATACCTGCCGATTAACACCTACAGCCACTCAACTGGTTCACTGCGGAGCTACTTGAATTCCCTGGTAGTTTATGCAGCTTTGGCATCTGAAAGTGACCGCAACAGCGACCACAAGTGGTAATTACAGAGTATAAGAAGATGCTGTGCTCACGTCTTGTTGTACCTGCGACCAGGGTTTAAAATGATCACCCGCCACGAGCCAATTGACAGTAAAAAATGACTTTGGCGAATTACCATCACCACCCCAGCTGATGCTGGAGTGGTGATGGGGCAGTGGATTAGGCACATGCTTTTGGTGTGAGAGACACGGGTTCAATTCCCCACTGTGACACTTCCACCAATGTGTCCCTGAGCACGACACTTAGACCCCTAGTTGCTCCAGAGGCGTGCGACCTCTGACATATATAGCAATTGTAAGCTGCTTTGATAAAAGCATCAGCTAAATAAATAAATGTAAATGAAACGCATAAGTTGACTGAATGCGTTTTGTTTCGATTCTGCACGCTGCATGTAACTTATGTTGCGGCTAACTTCACTGTTATCTAGCTAGCTCAGGATAGAACTGCATATATATATTTATATGTCTTATGTAGGGCGGCATATAACGATGATTTTAGTTTTTGAAGCTTCGATAGATTATTTCAATGATTCATTGATGCGTCGTTTAAGAAGTACTTTTGCTTGCTGGCTTTGTAGAAACATGGCGGCGCAACATGGCGGCGTCCACGTAAGTATGTAGATAGAAGTGGCTCATTCTGAGGTATTAAAAACATAACGGTTCTGTAAGGTCTTTACACAGCACTGAAAACATAGTTATGTACACTATATTGCATTTCTGTCAATAGATCCTCCTAAATATTACACACTGGACCTTTAAGTTAGCTAACATTAGCCACCATATGCTACTGCTCATACCAGTAAGGCTGTGTATAGTGTATTGAATTTTTTTTTTTATTGTATCTGTAAAGCTTCTCGGGTCATAGTTATCCAAAGCAGGTTGAAAAAGGGCAACTGGTCATTGGCAAGATGACCAATACCGCAGGATTAGCTAGTGCTCCTGGCAGTTCTGTATGGTTGTTGTTGACACCCGAGGTCTGAACAACCACCGTTGGCATCCTCACCTGAGGGCCGATGTGAACATCTGTTTAGTTTCCTGGGAAGAGATGAAAGGGTAGCATTGCAAGTTGACAGTAAATGTTATTGCAGACCTCTTTCCCGTTCACATTTGGCCTTAAGGTGAGAATGCCAGAGTGTGAACAAGTCCAGCTTTGTCCAGCTCCCATGTTTACCTTCTGCCTCAAAGTCTCTGATCTGACAGAAAGCTCATCTTTGTATGTGAGGAGTTAAACAAATCAATACTTTGTTTGGAGACAAACTGAACATCAAGTTGAAATCCTCCGTTTCTGTTGCGTCGTCACTGCTGTGTCATCACAGCGTGATTACCCTGGAGGAGGGTTATGACAGTCAGTAATGTTTATAGCGTTGTGTCTTGTTTCAGTGGAAGTTGTGTTCCTGGTTTCTCTCAGTCAGTTGTGGTTTTCTTACAGACGACAGTATGATGGTTTGAGTTGCAGACGCCCTTCAGTGTCTTCACCACTCTGTTAAATCTTTGTCAGTGTGGTTTTTGTGTGGTTTGAAAATGGAGCCAGCATGATGCTGGTGGATACAATATAACAAACAGCTGTGAAATGTCATGCAAACAAAAGGCAACAGCCCAGCAACGCATACCATCTCTAACGAATAGTTATTGTCATATTATGTTTTTTAATTTTTTTTTGTCTATAGAAAGCTTTTAAAGTTTTTAAACTGCTTATTCTTTTTGAACTCAAGTCTTCACTTAACAAAAAGACTACAAGGAATCACTGCACCAGGTAGCTGGTTAAGAAGAAATATCCACAATAAACAACATGTTGATTTGTGACTTTTACAGGTGTTGACCTGTGTTTTATTTTGCTGTTGTTGTTTTTTTACTTTGAGCAGAGCCGGGCAGTGGTTTCCTTCTGTTTTACAGTCTTTATGTTAGCTAGGCTAATTGATTACTGGCTCTAGATTTTCACTTTAAGCTGGGATGGGTAACGTTGGAGAAACTAACAAGAGACAGCTAGATTTTGAAAATATCCAATTCTAAAAATGCCACCCCGTCCCTTCAGGCGTCATTCCAAAGCCACTCCCTGAAAACACATGTTCATAGGCTATAAGTGCACCGGCAGAGTGCGTGCAGGCAGGCCAGCCAATCGTTTTATTCGAAACGAATGAGCATTTAATTTATTGATTGCTGTCGGGATATAAAGACAATTTCCACCCCCAGCTTTAAACGCAGCTCTTCATTTAATAATATTAAAATGAAAAAATGTGTTCTTTGCTCCTTTTCTCTCAGCCAGAGTGGGCGTTAACAGCTGAGCCGGCTGGGCAAAACACAAGTCTAAATGGGATATAAATGGAGAAAAACTGTGATGTCAAACACAATACAACCACTAAGATGATAAAATCAGCTGTGATGTGTTAATGTATGGTATAAAATGATGAGTTGCAGCGTAGAAAGGTAAAAGACTAGCATGTCAATGTAATGAATTTTATTGTGAATTTTGTGACCTTGGAATTAAAAACATTTAATCAAAACTGAGCTGACAGTGTGACGTGACAAACGTGCTGAACAGATAAAAACAGAGAGAAGAAGAAGAAGAAAACCAACACGTAGGAGGTTCATGTGGTTTTCTAACAGTTTGAATATTGTAATAGCGGTGAGTGAGTGTGTGTGTAAATGCCTCTCTGGCTCAGCTGTGGCTAATATTTGTTCACCCGCAGATTGTACAAGTTGTTATTCGATGTGTTCCTGCTCGTTTGTCGGGTTCCTGAAGGCCAATGTCTCACAGCGATTACACCAACCACCGGTGTGAATTGCTGCTGCTGCATCCTCTGTGTGTGTGTGTGTGTGTGTGTGTGTGTGTGTGTGTGTGTGTGTGTGTTGAAACCTGTGAATGTTGGGTGGAGGAGTTGAAGTGCCTGTTCCTCACTATCTAAAACAGAAGTGCAGTGTGAACACAACCACATCCTCCCTTTTAGAAACACACACACACCTGACTAAAGTTGTTTTCACACCAAGTCAAAAAAAAACAAACACACAAGTCACGGTAATCAATTATCATCAGCAGTTCGTATTTTAAAGTAAGCTACTGTATATTCCTAATGAATTGAGTGTAAACCTGTTGGGCTACAACACTTTAATATATTTTCATCGATTTTTAATGATTAAACTATTTCTGAACCCGTAGACGGGGTGTGATGCTTTTATTTGTTAAGAATTATTTGTCACTGGAGGTCCTCAGCTACATTTGTCTAAGGGCCAGAATTCTTCAAAGCAGACATTTATTTAGGCCCATTATTGTTTCATACTTTTAACTTTAACAAAGTTAGTGTTATTTTTATTAGCCTATATATATCAGTGTGAACAGACTCCTTACAAAATCCATTATGATAACTAGATACTTAACTGGAAAATTCTCTCAGACCTCCGTCAAGGAGGCCGTTCACTGGAGCCTAGTTCACACTACACGATTTTAAGCCCGATTTTACCATAAAACTTTTTTTTGATAAATTGTTAGACGCCCGGTCTGGTTTTTCTTTGGATGTATAATACACCTTAAAGCCAGTGCTGCTTAGATTGCAAACAACTACAAATGTTAAATCTTTTGTCAATTTGGCCATGCTACACATGTTAGATTGTTCTGTTAATTTTAAAAGACAAAAACAATTGCGCCGCTCACAGAAGTCAGGCAATAATGTTCCTTTTCTGTGATCTGATTTTAAGCTGCACATGGCACAAATCTGAGAACACAATACTGCAAATACATAAATGATTCTGTAGTTTCATCAGGGTCCATTCGGGGGGACGAAAGATAAGCATTAACGAGCTGCCAGGTGACGACCCCTGCTGTATGCATTAGAAAGATTATTCTTGGTGAGCTACTTGATTGTTTTGTTTTGACCTACAATAAGATTAGGAATCTACAGATATGCTAACAGGTCACTACCATTACCATGATCACCTTCTTATTAGCATGCTCACATTCGGTAATTAGCAGTAAACAAAGTACAGAAGAAGACGTCAACTTTGCAAACGATGCCAGCGACGGTCGTTCAGACTTGGCCCTTACGTGACCCCAACGACTGTTGTTCCAACAGTCAGGGGCACTAATGAACCAAACGACTTGTTAACAACCCCACAGAGGTTAAATAGCTGGGATTCCAGGAATGGAAACAAAACACAATCACATGCACAAACAGGACCTATACACATGCATTAAGCTGAGGCTGATGGGAATGTCACTCAGTCATATGACGGTGGCCCTGAGAGCTCAACACACTTGAAAGACCTCCACCAACTTGACAACACATGCGCAGCAATTAGAAAAAACAATGCAAGTATTATCACAAAGAGTACAGTCAAGAGCTGCTCGATATGAAAAGCACAAAGAGATAATGAGATGATGTGAATTGGCACTATATAAATAAAATTGAAATGCATTGAATTTGAGTAGCATAGACAACAATGTTTCCAAGGGACACTAAAGACACACGCCGATAAACACGCCGGGCACTGCTGGGATACACTTGGCGTCCCTTAAAAAAAAACAGTACCAAAACCAATAAATATCTCAATACTGAGTTCACCAAGTTCAGACTTCTGTACTTTAAAAGCTCGGACTTGGCAAGTTCGGCTCGGGAACGGGAGCAAGCAGTCAGTCATTCAGCAATTGGAACAGCAGCGGACTTGATGACGGCCGGACCCGTTAGCGGGCGGGACTTCACATCTCCAAAAACGTCGTAGCAAATTTTTAAATCAGCTCTGTCTTGAGAAATCAACCACATATTTCGAGTTTAAACAACTATATTCCCGCATAAAAAAACTCTTAAAACTACTATATGTGACACAAGAACAGCAGTATTATTATTAAGTTACAGTTGTGAGTTTTCTCCTCCGACATTTCCGCTTGTTGGTGGCGAAATGCATTATGGGATAGCTGGCTATCAGAAGTCCACACAAGTCACCACCGATGCAGCCGGGTATTTCACTTGGCGAGATGCAGACTTTTGAAGTACAGACAAGAACGCAGATTGAGAAACAGCCCATGGCTCCCGACAAGTGCGCCACAGCCGTGTGCAGCACTTTTTAATGTCCCCTGGAAACAGTTTCCATTGCCTTCTTTGCTACTTGCAGGTTTGTGTATTTGGTTGTGATTTGTGTATTTGATGAAGATGTTTTTTTCTATTTGCTTGGGTTTTTCTGAAGTCGCTGCGTGTTGAGCTCTCAGGGCCACCGTAGAATTTGGTCATAAACCAAAGTATTCAACTGAAACATCGGAGACATGCTGTTTACTACAAAAGATAAAACGTCCTCCTCATCCCTGTCTGCTTATGAGTCTTGGTTTAAGTTTAGTCCCAATCACAGTGAAAACATGTCACACATCTTCAGACCCAGGTGGCTTTTGGGCAATAAGTGAATTCCCAATCAGATTTCAACACCTTATGTGAACACTTGTACATCCTTGTTTCTAACTTCTTCCTCTCTCACCTACGCTCACTTTCTTTCTCTCAGCAAACACTTAAGGCCCACTTATACTCCTGCGTAGGGTCATGCAGAAGTATAAATTGCCCATAACACAGTACTTCTTTGCTCACCGTGTGACAGCGTTGTTCACCCCTGGCTGGATGAGGTGCGAGAAGTATTCCTCCACCACAGAAGAAGTCAGGTGTTTTTTCAGGTAGGGGAAGAAGAGGGGATGACGAGCTATCACTCCTAAAAGAATAAGACAGAAAGAAAAAATCTCTTTCGACTTCTTGTTGATGCAGTTTGAGGCTGTTTGTCGATCAGTCATGTTTCAGTCGTTGCTCATGAATACGACCCAGTCATCCACGTTTAATTTACTACAAATAAACTACCACTTCACATAGTTAGATGACAAGATTTCTTACCTCTCCGTCAATGTGTGGATTTTAAAGCTACAGACAACAGCCAGTTAGCTTAGCTTAGCATCAAGACCGGAAACTGTGGGAAACAGCTAGCCTGGATCTGTCCAAAGGTAACAAGATAGTCCTACTAGTATCCTCAAAAGCTTGCAAAAAAACTAAAAGTAAAATCGTCAATTTAATGTTTTATGGGGGGATTATGTGGTGGACTATTTTTTGGCCCAGACCAGTTGCAAGGCAAACATGGGAGACTCCAGGTAAATAATGTTTCAAGCCCGGATAAAAAAGCTTTTGTTTTTCCCCCACATTTACAGTGTTTATGCTAAGTTAAGCTAAGTGGCGGCTGGTGGTAGCTTCATCTTTAACCAATCAACTTTCTCAGATAACACTGCAAGAAAGAGAACAAGTGTACGCCCCAAAATGCCGAGCTAATGCTTTAAAAATGCTTTGATTTTAGTTTGAATCAAACTAAATCTGCACACAGGACTAGCTCCCATTAATTTTAAACTGAAGCAACGTTTCAATAAAAGATACTTTCAGAGAAGGAGCCAGCAAAGACTCACTCAAAGGACTCCATGTTGCCCTTCAACTACTTCTACTCCTTCTACCAGAGTACTGTTCAACCCATCTTGCTCTACTGCTCCACCTGTTTCTGCAGCACGCTTTCTGTTACAAACCGGGTCAAACTGACATGATTAACCAACACCGCACCTCAAGATAATATGTCTGCCTAACAGCCATAGCAGCCCTGAACAAGGCATCTCGAAGAGGAAACCAGGAGCCTTCTTTTCAACAGTCCGGTTTGTTCTTACAGTGTATTTGTTGGGAATGATATGTGAGGTATGAAATGTTGTATGCTAATTGGTGATGTACAGTGCTATGAAAAAGAATTTCCCTCTGGGAAAATAAAGTCTAATATGTAATCAGTAAATAAGTGCATACATTTAGGAGGAGTAGGAAAGTCCCTGTCTTGATAACAGACATAAATGAACCTTGAACTCACAGAGATCTCATGCTGTTAGTACAGCGTGTACATCTTTCTTTGATTCTTGCCTTTAGTTTGCTTTTTAATTCCGCACCTGTGGAAGTTTTTACCCTTTGTGTCTTTAGCTCGCAAGCTAGCTAGCTACCACCACGCACAAAGGACTTTCTGACGTGAGCAGATCCTCAGCGAGGACGTGGCCTTCATGCAGTTTGAATCATTCTGCTGTTACATCAGTTTGGTGACATTAATACAGCAGACTCACAGGTTTATACTTGTGCGGCTACCCGTTCTTCCACTTAGTTTAAAAGCGCTTCTCACCAATGTTAGCCGAGTCTCCTTTGTCTCCGCTCCTTGTGTAGGCCAGCTCCTCCAGTCTGTAGCTGTGTGGTCCACTGGGCAGCTCTGGACAGAGACCAGAGAAACAAACATGTTTGTTTGGTGATAAAACACAGGAGGCAAACACAGAATCAAGCTTTAAAGTTGTTTAACTTTATCTCCTTTCAGTGACCTATTTAGTCTGCTTTCAATTCAGGTCTTGAGGTGTTTTTATTGCTGTATAATTTCGTGTGGTTTCACTGTGTCAAAGTGACTTCTTTCTATTTCTCTGTTCATGTTCCTTTTACATTCAAAAACGTAGCCTAGCCTGCTAGCCTGCCACTTTCTGAGATGAATACAAACCTGACAGCACGACGGGGGCCTCCCAAATGTTGAATGGTGTAAACAGACAGACACCTTAAATCGCTACTGGCAGAAAAACAAGTCTCAACAGCCTCAAGTACACCGTTACAATGGAAAACGTCCACTCGGAGTGTCCGTGGGTTTCATGAAAGGCGCCATATAAATCTAAGTTATTAGTATTTTTATTATTATTAGTTTAGACACAGTTTTCACAAATATTTTCAGCAACTGTTTTTTATTTTTGCGAGTTGTAGCTGCAGCACTGTGTGGTTTATATTCCCTACAATGATACCGCAGCATGCTACATTACTGTCATCTACCCCCTCCAGCATTCCCATGTTGTTTTACAAAGACAACTGTATGAGGGTCATCAGTGTGTGGCAGGTAATCCATTAGTAATTCCTGCCTGCTTCCACACACACACACACACACACACACACACACACACACACACACACACACACACACACACACACACACACACACACACACACACACACACACACACACACACACACACACACACACACACACACACACACACACACACACACGTTAACGTTTATTCATTCTTTGTTTATTTTAACCTAAACACAGAAATAGGTCACATAAATAAATCACAGCTAAAGTTGGTCAGAGACTGTTAGACCATGTGAATAACTATTAAAAGCAGCAGCTCCGTCTTTTCTTCCTGAATTTGAATGTTTTTATTCTTTAGGTTTGTTTTTTTTTGGTGATTGGAGAGGCCTTCCTGTTTCCAGCCTGGAATGTGAAGGTAGGGAAAGCAGCCAGGACTCAGTGCGTGTGCATCTTTTCCTTTTATTTGTGGGGTCCAACCAGCTTTGTGGAGACCAAAACGCTGGACCCGACAAGTTTAAAAGGCTGTTTGAGGGTTAAGACTTGGTTCTAGGGTTATGGTCATGTAGTTGTGATGGTTAAGGTTAGAGTAAAGAGCTAAGGAAGGCATTACGTCAATGACGGGTCCCCACAAATATAATACAAGGGTGTGTGTGGACTTGCTTTTTGTGTGCTACAATTCGATTTCTGTTCTCTTTTGTTTTTGTAAATAAATGTAGTTCCTCTGCTGCGTCAGAACCTCGTCATTAACGCTGGGTTGAGAGTCTTCACTGCATTCAAGGAGTGTCCTAAGCTCTGCTGAGTGTGTGTGTCTTTGTGGCTGTTTGTCTGTAGGGCCATGGGAATGCAGCGCTGGTGAAAGGATGAAAAGCGGCAGAGCTTGTACTTCTCAGGAGACGCCAAACACACACACACACAGAGGAGGTTGGTCTGTGTGTCATTTGTTGTGCGTTATGAGATTTTAAATGTGAATGTTTATATCATTTGATTTATTTTTCATGCATGTCCCTGCTTAGACGTGCTGAAGTGGACTTCTGTGTTGTTTTATGGAGGTAATTGGAACATGGGAACAGGTCGCCCTCTGTAGGCAGACATCAGTAACTGCACACAACAAGTTACAGTAATATCTGTTTATCAATAACTGTTCTGGATAAATATTCATTTATTCTATTTCTAATCACCCTCTTATTTGAGTTTACTGAAGGCTGAAGCTACACACCTCAAACACAGTCCATCACAGGGTGTCTACATGTATCAGCAAGTTAATGTAAGACTTTTTAATGCCATCGTTTAGTTAAATTTAAACAACATTTTGATCTGAAAATAAACATCAAATGTGAAAATAAAGGTACTCTCAGTAAATATGCGCTATACATTTTCAGTTTAACACAGTAATAAAAGTAAGGTAAATTAACAATAACTGGTTGAGTTAAAGAACATTTGTCCAAATACATTTATTAGTGTGAAAACAATATATTTCTATGCTGAACATCATTTAGACCCCTGTATTATTAGTGTGCTTCTCTGTTGTTTAGTTTATAGATTACTTTTTAATAAATAGGTAAATGGCATCTTCCTGGTGTAGATTGGACTGATAATTGCACCACCTTTTACCCAAATATTGGTGGATTGTTTACCCAGGAATGTTTCCTGTGTGCTCGTTTACCTGTGTCAGGTGCGTCCTCCTCTGTGGTGGGAGGGGCTTCCTGCTCAGGTGCGTCAGGCCCCACCTCTGCGAAAGACTCCACCAGCTCTCCACCGACATGAACGTCCACCTGCAGTGAGGTCAATAATGAATAACTGTAGCAGGATATTGAAATTTGATATGAAAAATGTCTTTAGGTTCAACAGTTTCTGTGGAGTTCATTCACAGTTCATTCACACTGCTAGCTTCCCTATGCTGCTGGCGTTAGCTGGCTTACTGCTAGCTATAGCAATAGCAATATACTGAAGTTCCAGTTCAGTTTTTATTACAGCTAGTTTTCCCGCTACAAGTACTTATTCACCTAAGTGACCATAAAATAACTAAACCTCATAAAAATGATTGAAATCTTGACTGTACAGAATCGTTATACTTTCACCAAACAAGTGAGGAAAAGTGAAGGACAGCAGCGAAAACACACCTTTAAACATTTATATTTTTACTGATTTAAGTGCTGCTGGTTAACTTCTTGTCATAAATCTACATTAGCTCTGGATCCAGTTACACCAGTGATTTACACGCCACTAAATTAAAACAAACTAGCTCAAACTAGCTAAACGTAGCGGACTGACATAGCTAAAGATAGCTTGTTAATATAGTTTGACCCGTTTAGGTAAATATGGTCTACAAATCTGACATTTGATCTGTTAAATAATGATGCAAACTGAGAAGATTTTAAATTACATTTCACAAAAACACCACAACACACATCAAGATCACAAAATGTTATACCAATGTTCGACTAAATGAACAAATAACCTTGGTTAGCTTAGCTTAATAAGATATTTCCTACTTACGTTTAACACTATGAAAACTACTAATACTGAAACACACAACCTTCTCTATCTACCTATCTATATAAATAAAACAAACACTTACCTACATATAAATCTGTTTTTGGAAGTAATGCTAGCTTGTGGTGCTACAGTGACTTCTTGTTTACATGGCTGATTTTCTAGCAACTCTAGCAAATGATGTAATCTGATTTAGTAAATCACTAGTCTGAAACAAGCTACACCTTAAGAAAGTCTTCAAACACAATCTGAAGTCAAGATAACGAAGACACATTCATTTTGTTGACACAGTTTTTTGTGACTCATCAAGTCCATTCTTTGTGAAAAGTTCTTGAAAAGTGTTGAGAAAACCTTTTTACATATATATTTAAACAATTTGCAGGTCATATCAAACTCACCTTCAGCTGAGGTTTGGGGTGCAGGAAGAAAAACGGTTTCAGGACAGGAGACCTAGAAACGAACGAGATGTGAAAATAAGAGGACGCTGTTCATTTATTTTGTGCACAAAGTCGGCCGCTAACGTGTGAAAACTGCTGTTCTCCAGATCTTCTATTGGTTGTATGAGGATAAATTAAAATGTCTGCTCTTTGGGACTAAATGTACATATTAATAAAATAAACTCACACTCTGGGTCGTCCGCCCACGATGCCGGTCAGCCCAGGAGCTGTGAGCCAGGAAAAAGAAAAAAAGAACCACAAAGGAATGTAAAATAAGCTGTTCTCCTGTTACCTTTAAAGCACACAAAAATAATAATCTTTGTAGTTTTAGCAGGTGTAGCAGCTGGTCTGAGGTCAGCTCCGCTTCCTGTGTCACTTACAGTGCAACAGCAGCATGAATCAGAAACCTCCCAGGAGTCACAGAGTTCATGAGTTCATGAGAGTGTTTGTGTGGCAGATTTGAACTTTTGACCATAAACAAAACTCAAATCTGGTTCAGAAGGTCACGACCCACCTTATCAGCAGTAATACACAGCCTGCAGCATGCTGACAAATACCCCCTCTTCACTGCGTGAGTGTGAAACGCGAAAGTTTAGAACAAACCGCCTACAGCAGAACGTGCTGCTCCGTTTGTACGTTCCCTGCAGAATATTTAGGTCCTTACAGCTGCAAGCACAAGAGGCTTTACAGTATGAAAACATGTGAGCAGTGTGGCTGTAGAGATGAAATGGTCTGTTATCCCAGAGAGAAATCTCTCAACAACTACAGGAGGGATTGAATCCACTTGAATCCTAATAACCTGCAGGTAAAATGTTGCTCTTGCATTAGTGTTGTAGCAGCTAAATCTACACTTGAAGTCACTGAGGGCTGATGGACAGGCCTCTAAATGACACGATCGCCCTGCCTTCAGGTGAATGCAAAAATCCATAACACATGATAATTATTGCAATATAATTTTCTTCAATAACAATATAATAATTGTTCAATATATCGTTAATTAATATTTTGATAATTATCGATATCAAATGATATGAAATGTTTTTATTGGGATAACATTTTTGGCCACATCGCCCAGCCCTAGCCCTCAAACATCCACTGAATCAAACATTTCCTCATTAAACACTGTACAGCTCTAAAGGCGTTTCCCCTCCGTCTAGCAAAAGTCAAAGTTCCTACTTAAATTGCATCTGACGCAAAGCAGTAACGTGACACCTACTGTAGCCTCCAGTGTTCTGCACTCAACACAAAAACCCATACATGTAAGTCAAGTATATTGACAATTTGTATGCAAGAATCAACACGCTTTACTGTTTTGTACTAAGAGGAAAAATATACAAGATGGGCGTCAATTAAACTTTGGAATACAACTGCAAATATAAAACTTCTCAAATAATATTTAACGAGACAAAAGGAGCTGCAAATTTACAGTGAGGTACGCACATTTTTGAATCTTGCTGGTTAGTTTCTAAGACTACAGATGTAAATGAGCTGTAGTTTATCAGATTTGCATAGATTGTTGCTAAATTAAATCTGATCCGAATTAAAAATCAAGACCTTTTTCATTATGTTTACCAATTACCCAAAATACAAAGTGATTCAAGGAAAATCAAGTCCTTATTTGGTGTGACCACGCTTTGCCTTCAAAACAGCATCAACTCTTCTAGGTACACTTGCACAAAGTCAGGGATTGTGTAGTCACATCACCAGGTGTGTGATTAAACAATTAAACCGAACAGGTGCTGATGATCATAAATTCAATAAGTAAGTTCAATCACGATCATTAACTGAAATATAAACAGCTGTGTGGGAGGAATAACACTGAGTGAGGAACAGCCAAACTCAGTTGACCATGTGAGGTCGCTGAAATGACATGTAGTTTATCTGATTTGCATAAAATGTCCTCAAGTGATGTCAACTGAGTCCGTGTCAGTTGGGGCTGAAAGTTGAAAACGAAAGTTTGAAAATCTAAAACTTCTGGAGGATTCAGAGGAGTTAGAAAGAGGTGAGCTCACCGGACCTCTGAACCTCACTGCTCATCTCTGCTGCAGGCTACATAAGCTGCTGCTAGCATAACACACCCTAATCTCCCACACTACTGATGTGGTCAGGTTGCATTGTGGGTAATGTAGTCGGCAGGTTTTGACAAGGAAGGAGCATGTGGGGAATAAAAATGACATTATCTGTGTTTCTGGTGCATCCATGCTGATCCTGGTTGTAAAAGTGTGAAGCTAAATCTGCAGAGAACGCTTTTAAATCATGGCACAGAGCCAGAGCTGACCCTGATGGTTTGTTTGCAGCTTTCTTCTTCTTCTAATTTCATCAGAGAGCTTTATCATTTGTACCACAGTTTATATGGAGATCCAGTTCATCATAAAGGCAATTTTATTGCAGTGTTTTGGGGAATAAGAGGGTTCCTGAAGGAAAAGCACTTGTGTTTGTCGTACCCATGCCGGTCCCTGCAGGAGCTATTTCTCTGGCAAAGAGTTCAAGAGCTTTCTTCTGTTTGTGGTGGACGGCCATCCAGATAACTGCCTCTCTGGAGTCCTGCAGACACGCAGAAAGAAACCATACAGTCATTTAAATATAATGTTAAAGACATGAAGCGTGTTCAGTCGTGTATCTGTGTTTTGATCAAATGCTTTGTTTTTTTTTGCTCTCCTGTTGAGTTTTCCAAAAACTGGTTTATTAACGTCCACCTGCCTCCAAATATCAAGAGGACAAGAAAGATGAAGGACAGAGGAAGAAGAAAGTAAAAAAAGACAAGGAGGAAGACGTGGAGAGAAACAGCAAAGAGAGAAAAAAAGGAGCGTGGGAGGTTACGGGCGTGAAACAGGCTTATCTCCGACCCTGACCTGCTTCCGGTAGAGGAGAGGATTTGGATGGACGGAGGGATGAAGGGATGAGGAGAGAGTCTGTGTCAAACCGAGAGAAAAAAAAATAAGAGAGTGATAGAAGGAGAATTCAGAGGCGTGAAATGGGCTTAAGTGTGACCTGCTTCTCAAGACAGAAGATGGAGAGAGGGGACGAGCAGTGGGGAGAAGAGAGAGCGAGAGTAAGAAACGAGGCTTAAATCATACCACAATCCTCCAAATGTTGAAGATGTTTAGACAGCTGATGAACAATGGAAGCTCTGATTTTCAAATGTGCTCTTTTGAATATCTAAATCGCACTGATCACCAATAACCACGAAGGGTCAAGCTATGAAGCTCGGTGTAATATCTAATGTTTATAAGGAAAGAAGCATAAAAGGGAGGAAATATTCGTCTTTCCCCTTTATAATCTACGTGTGCTACCCCATTTATGTTGTGTTTATGTGGGATTTTATTTAGACTTTTGCGCCCCCCTTCTCATTTTTACCCGTATTACCTACTTAATTGTTAAATTTTTTTGATTTACTGTATCATGTTGTATTGTGTTTTTTTTTTATCTATTGGAAAAGTTGATATTAAAAAAAATAATTTTAAAAACCAAGTTTTGGTGATGCCTCTAGTGACAAAGAATTTATTATAAATTTAATGTAAATATATGAATCCTGTCTGGGAATATTAGAAATATGTACAATTAAAGGTCAAGAATTAAAGTTTCCCAGAGGAGTTTTTAACCTCTAGTTGTGCTACACTGCAACAGGGAAGAAGAAACTAGTGACCAATGTTTAGATTTATTATAACTTGCAGCGTTAACTACAACCAAATCTAGAAGAAATCCAGTAAGTATGTCCTCTAGACCCCCCAAAAAACTCAACAACAGTTCTGCCGTCTATGCATTGTGTTGCAGGGACATCTATTAAAGTTAGCATGCTAACCAGCTAGCCTTGGGCCGTCATATCTTGTAATATCACTTTGAACCACAAAAGGTGATTTAGCAACAGCTTATAAAAGTAGCTAAGTGTATAAGGTTAGTGGCAGTGTTATGTTTGCTAAGGTTGTTGAAAGAAGGAAAGACCTAAAGGAGGGATTGTGCATTTTCTTGTGTCCTGCAATAGTTGGGGATGGAAAGCCCAATTTTCTCTATTTGTCTGGAGTATGAATTAGACAGGTGTCCAATTCTTACACATACAGTATCTACTTATGCCAGGCGACCTAAAAACAAGAGTTATAAATCCTGCAAACTCTGGGTTACCGGCAGATGTTATATGTTTGTATTAAAACATCTGACACATGTGGGTTAGAGAGCAGAACAGCTAGATGTGGGCGGTGGTGTTACTCTTTAAACTGCTGCCTGGCAACACAACTAAAACTAAAAGAGAAGGTGTGTTTAAGACAATGGGAGTCGATGTTGGTGTGTGTGTGGGTGTGTGTGTGTGTGTGTGACCTTGCTGCGAGCGTTGGCACCATACGTGTCCTCAGCTCCGAGGACCTGGATGTTGACGGCGCTGAAATCTTCCAGCCCCAACTGCGTAAACATTCGCTTCGTCCTAAAAACAAACACACACACACAGAGTTATTCTTAGACATCCATAAAGTTTCCTACTACATACAGAGTCTTCTCTCTTGTACACACCGTTTGATGATGCTGTCTGCAGTTCGTCTGGCCTTTTCTGCTGCTCTTGGTCCTCCGACCGGACACACTGCTGTCGCCCTGAAACCGTCCATGTAGGTAGCACACACCTGGAGAGACGAAGGGGGGCGACAGAAAACAGGATATGAAATTTCCAGTTGCAGCAAAAAATAACACGATCATAAAACAAATTTGATAGAAGCTGTGTTGGATTAATTTTTGCAAAGCAGGAAAAGAGACAACACAATAAAAAAGTGAAAATGTTTACCTTGTAGTCATGTGATGGAGCGGAGCCTTTAGCCCCCGTCACTCTGACAGCGCCTCCTTCTACACCTGAAAACACACACACGCTCTGTAGATTAGTTGTTGTGAGAAACTCTAATGTCAACAATGCTGATGATTGAATATTAATTTATCAAGCAAAAGTGCTGATCTCTGGTTTCTCAAATGGGACCGACACAAAAACATACAGTTGAACACACTTCTCACATACAAACTGCATCAATTGGCCTCTAAAGTTAAACATTTGACAGTAAAGGCGAGACACCACTATCCATAACGACGATTTTGCCCCAATCTGCTATTTTGCGAGAACAGCCTGATGAGTTTCAGAGGAAAGTTCTTTGTTTTTGGCTATTTCGAGCCTGTAATGGGAATGTTGTGCTAAACTAGTCTAAACACTTTTATTGCTTCTTTAATCAGCAACAGTTTTTAAGCTGTTTTACCGTGATTGCAAAAGGAGTTTTCTAATGAACAATTAGAATTTATAAACTTAAATTAGCAAACACAACATGCCATGGGAACACAGACGACAGAGACAGAATAACAACAGAAAAACGCATGTCAAAAATGTTTTAAATTGATTTGCATTTCAATGAGTGAAATAAGTATTTGACCCCTCGGCAAAACATGACTTTATGGGAAAACCATTGGTGGCAATCAGAGGCCAGACGTTTTTTGTAGTTGGCCACCAGGTTTACACACATCTGAGGAGGGATGTTGTCCCACTTCACTTTGCAGATCTTCTCCAGATCATCATGGTTTCGAGGCTGACGTTTGGCATCTCGAACTGTCAGCTCCCTCCACCGATTTTTTAATGGGATTAAGGTCTGGAGACTGGCTAGCTTAATGTGCTTCTTCTTGAGCCATTCCTTTGTTTCCTTGGCCGTGTGCTTTGGGTCACTGCCACGCTGGAATACCCATCCAATGCCCTGGCTGAGAGAAGGAGGTCCTCCCCCAAGACTTGACCGTACATGGCCCCGTCCATCGTCCCTTTGATGCGGTGGAGTTGTCCTGTCCCCTTACAAGAAAAACACCCCCAAAACATCATGTTTCCACATGATGTTTTGGGGGTCATTCCTTCTTCTCCAAACACGGCGAGTTGAGTTGATGCCAAAGAGCTCGATTTTGGTCTCATCTGACCCAGTTCTCCTCTGAATCATTCAGATGTTCATTGGCTGTTCCGCCAGCGTATGAATGTGTGTGTGAATGGTGACTGCCGATGTAGTGGAAAAGACTAGAAAGGCGCTATACAAATACAGAGCATTTACATTCTGGGCTGACTCCTCACCGTTCTCATGATCATTGCACCTCCACGAGATGAGATCTTGCATGGACCGAGGAAGATTGACAGTTGTTTTGTGTTTCTTCCATTTGCTAATAATCGCACCAACTGTTGTCACCTTCTCACCAACCTACTTGGCCTTGTAGCCCATTCCAGCCTTGTGTAGGTCTACAATCTTGTCCCTGACATCCTTGGACAGCTCTTTGGTCTTGACCATGGTGACCATTGAGCTGAGATTAGGAGCACTCCCTTTATTGGCGCTTTTCCAGTACAACTCTCCTCGCCTCGGTCGTGCTCCATTTTCCATTGCAGATAGTACAGAGATAGTACCCCTCAATGTAGCTGGTCGTCATAGCAACACCACATACAACTGCCCCGACGTAAGGTTCAATGCGGCACACACACCAGCGACCCACACAGCTTTCTCTTTATTAGGGCCTGAGCATGAACCGTGCGAGGTCCCTATTGAAACTGTAAGGATTTTATTTATTTTTTTCTGCAAAGTAAGCTCAATTTTGGGGGCCTAAACATACTCGAAAACTCACCAAACTTTGCACACATGAAAATTTCGTATTTTATGGGTTTCGCGCATGGGCGTGGCAAAATGACTCGCTAGCGCAACCTAGAAAATTGGAAAATATTTGCACCTCATTCACGTTCAACCTACATGCACGAAATTTTCTGGGGACATGTATCATGTCCAGACGCACAAAAAAGCCTCAAGAACCCATTCCCTAAACTCAACAGGAAGTCGGCCATTTTGAATTTTACGGCCATTTTTGGATGATTTACACACTCCGTACTTTAACGAACTCCTCCTAGGCATTTAGTCAGATCTACTTCAAATTTCTGCTGTGCCTTTTAAAGGCGTTGACAATGAAAAGTTGTGCTATCTGTGAGTTTTCGTCAATGGGCGTGTCCGTGGCGTGGCGTCAAAAATCAACTCTTTGCCATGACACAGGAAGTTGTTGTAACTTCAGTGTACATGCTCACATCTGAACAAAACTTTACGTGCTTGATAACTGTCCCGCCCCGAATACATCTACAAGCCAATATTCATTTATATTCGTGGCGCCAAGTGCTATGTAGCGCCACAAAGGGGACACAGGAAGTGACTTATAACACCTTCATTCAGCGTCGGAACCGCGTAGCAAATTCACAGCCGCACCGGCAGAGCTCCAGAATATGCAACGCGGTCACCTCGTACCCCGACGCGCTACACGTGCAAGGGCCCGCCCAACGCTGCTTGCAGCTTTAATTTAAGTTAAAGCGTTTCAACAACAAGCGGTATGAAAACCTTCCAGCTGTGTTTTTCCCTGCAGTTGTTGCTGCAGCGGTCTATAAAACTTTCTGTTGCCGGCCTCTGTCCAGCGCTCGCAATGATGATGCAGTGAAAAGTGCCGATTCTCTCTGACCAAGCAGTAGTCTGCTATGTTTTCAAGTCACATTTTAGTATCGCCTCAGCTCGCTTGGAACCTCGACGAAGGTGATACGAAAAAAAGTACAGGTACAACTTTTCCACAATGGAAAAACCAAACAAAGGCAATTCGAGTTGAGCTGGTACTGTTCAGGGAAGAGTTTGCTCCTAATCTCAGCTCGTTACCTGTATAAAAGACACCTGGGAGGCAGAAGTCTTTCTGATTGAGACGGCGTCAAATACTTATTTCACTCATTAAAATGACAATCAATTTATAAAAACGTTTGACATGCGTTTTTCTGGATTTTTTTGTTGTTATTCCTTCTCTCATTGTTCAAATAAACCTACCTTTAAAATTATAGACTGATTTCTTTGTCAGTGGTTAAATGCATTAAATCAGCAGGGGATCAAATAATTATTTCCCCTCACTGTGCATCAACAGTTTTCCCTCAAAGTGCGACTTTCCTCACTTGATAAAACTATCTTTTAAATTGTAATTCAGGATACAATTAAAACGGCATTAGTTGTCTCTCGCTGTCACTGCCATACATGTTTTTTTTAAAATAACGTCCCATGGTGGTCCACTTCAAGAGGAAGGACCTCTCTATTGCTCAACATGGATTGTCCTAGAATAAAAGTGCAAGAAACAAATGCTTGTGACGATTGTTCTTTAAAGAACACGACATTTAATATGGATATTTACACTTTCAGCCGCTTGAGTGTGTTCACTGCAATGGCCTGCTGACCACACATAATACACATTAGATGGTCAAAGATGCTTCCTGCTAAAATGTTGGTCAATACTTTTTATAATCATTACACCAGAGGAACTAACTATGTGACTGCTGTGTCAACTTTCAATATGCAAAAAAAAGTGGAAGATGTTTTTGACTTGAACCGGACTACAGACTTGCCTGTGGGTTCATTTTCAGTTCATGTCCCCGGCTCCCTCGTGTTACAAAATAAACTACAGGGGTCATGAAGTGGACAAACAAGGCTGGGGAGTTCAGCTGAGGCTCAATTAGACTGAAATATTTACATATTTAGCGACAGCAGCAGCCAAAGGTTCGCACTCCCTTTTGAAATGGGACATTGTTGATCCAGGACTCCCACATTGTAACATCACAGTCTGCTGCAGATCAGACGAAGTCTGCTTCAACACAGGCTGAGAGTTCACTCGAGGTCTCACGGTCTTCACTGAATATTACCTGACGCCTCGTCTTTAATTGATGAAACTAAACTTCCAATAGAAACGCAACCAATCTGCATGTGAGTTGCTCTACAGCATAGTCTTTCGAAGCCCCCCCCAGCTAGTTTTCTTGCTTAGTTTCACTAAATTTCTGGATACCTATGGATCATCATAATGTTATTTGATCCCAAAGACTTAACAAATGAGCCAAGATGGCCTAAAACTGTTTGACAGACAATATCTCACCTCTCATTTTGGTAAATATTTGATTATATCTTTGTACAGCTTGTATCACTTAGGGGTGTGCTCACTTTTAGACATTAATGGCTGTCTGATGTGTTATTTTGAGGGGACAGCAATATTTCCACTGTATTACAAGCTCTACACTCACTACTTTACACTGTAGCAAAGTGTAAAGTGTAAATTTCTTCAGTGTTGTTACATGAAAAGATATAATTAAATATCTACAAAAATGTGTGTACACATATATACTCTAATATACTATGTAAGGTTTTACATTACTCTCAGTTTATACACACAGAAAACAAGCATAAATTATGTAAAATTATTACGTAGGAGGAAGGTGGATGTTAAATATACAGTATGAACAATATGAACAACCAACTGCTAGTAGGAAGTAAATAGGGTGGTGATGGCGCAGTGGATAAGACACATGCCTTTGGTGTGACAGACCCGGGTTCATCTCCCCACTGTGACACTGTGTGTCCCTGAGCATGACTCTTTACCCCTTGTTGCTCCAGAGGCTTGCGACCTCTGACATGTATAGCATTTGTAAGTTGCTTTGGATAAAAGCGTCAGCTAAATGAGTAAATGTAATGTAAATATGCAGCTGGATGTTAGAGTCACAGGGTCGTTCCTGACACTGTGTGTCTGGAGTCAGCTGTTCATCAGAGTGAGGGCCTGTGGGTAGAAACTATTCCTGCGTCTGTTTGTTTTGGCGTCAAGCGCTCTGTAGTGCCTACCAGAGGGGAGGAGCTGGAACAGATTGTGTCCAGGTGACTTCAGACCAAGGTTATTATAGTTTATAGTTATTATAGGATTTTTCATTAGGTTTTATTTTCATTTTCTTTTGACTTTTTGTTTTCAATTTCAGTTTAGTTTTTAACGTGCGTTTGCTAGTTTAGTTTTTGAAAAGGCTTAGTTTTAGTTTTTTATTAGTTTCTTTAGCCAAGCTCAGTTGAGTTTAGTTCAGTCCAGTTTAGTTTTTTCACCAAACATTAAAATACAAGTATAATCATTAGAAATAATGCAGATTTGTGAAAAGGGACACCTTTTCTCAGCTGTCTGAAGCTTGTACATGTAAATCTACTACCCAGTGGTCCCAAGAAATTCATTACATCAGTCTCTAGCTCTATCATTCTTGGTTAAATAGGTAAAATACAATAAATGGAGGTGAAATACAATTGATGGACAGGTAAGAAATTGGAAGATGTGTAACAGCTCCCCAGCACCCTGCAGGCAAATATGACTGGAAAGCAGTTATATTAAAATCTAAACATTTATTAATCAAAAACTAGGTATTAATACAATGTGAAGCACAAAGAGATATCAATGAGCCCATAAAACAAACACACACTATCTGATGTGCAGTAAATATAATGACCAACACACACATTAACCCAGCGCAATGGTGAATCCCTCGACTTCATATCCACTCAAAATGTAGGCCGCGGGGGGGGGGGGGGGGGGGGGGGGGGCTGGAGCCAATCCCAGCTGACATCTGATGATCTCGCAAATTTCTTTCTGTATATGAATGTTCAGCAGAGAGCTCGAGTGCTGCAGGAATATAAAAACAGCGCTGATGGGACATTTATAGCCTCAGTGAAAAGGTTCCTATTAATGGATTCTGTAAGTCCAATATTTGTCTTACTTCTATCTGGGGGGACGCTTTTGGAAGTACAGTTCCCATGATGCTTCCTGCTGAGGAATGTAAGCAGGAAGTATAATGATGCCGAGTCGGATTGAGTCAAGCTGTGGGCTTCGACTTGAGCCCTTTTTTAAGCAAATCTATTTGTTGACATTTTGGCTAATTAGCACCATTAACAGTATGCTGACTAACAGTGCACCCATAGCTGCAAAAACAGCTATCACTGGGTTATTTATATGTACAGAATATTCTCTTCCGTTGCGTTACCACCCAGAATAATGCACATGTATATATCTGCAACGTTGTTCTTCCATTCCATATTTATATATTTCTACATTTATTTATGTTGACTGTATGTTTGTCTACGTTTAGCACCTTATCACCACAGCAAATTCCTCGTATGTGTAAAACACCACTTGGCAATAAAGCCCCTTTTGATTCTGATTGTAGCTACTTTAATGCTGAAGAAAACCCAAAAAAAACAGTTGATTCTCAGGCAAGTTCTGCAGTAAAGGAGCCTTTTTTGATAACTTTTGATGATCGCTTGATGGTGGCTGCTGAAGTTAGAAACATTAGAAAGTTATTTTGGGTAACGTACCAACTAGTCTGCCTCCATGGAAGATTTTGTATGTATTTTGCAGAGTGAAAGGTATTTATTGTTAAATTAATACTTACTTAGATTTAACTACAGAGCAGGTGTAAACTCTCTCAGCTGGCTGTTCCTGTAGATCACATTCAACCTATTTTCATGATATATTGTAGCATGAAGAGTTTCTGTTATGGGTTGAATTCATGTGAAATATTCAGGATTTTCTCCACATCATCTGAAATGTAAACAACACACATCACTTGGACTACTATTCAAACAGAGCGTGTGAGTGTAATCCCAAAACTCTGCGAGTGGTGATACCAAACCTCTACCAACTGAGCTACACAGCAAATAAATAAAAAACACTGATTTAATTACCAAAAATGGGACAAAAAAAGAGTTTCTTATCAGTGAGGGAGGGTTCAGTAGGGGATCAGGGGAAGGTTTATATGTGGGTTAGATTCTGCTGAAGAGATCTAGACGGGTTCAATCAGGGCTGATGGATATGTGTTTAATTTTAAAAAAGGGAAACTAAAGCACTGATAGCTGAGTTTATAAGAGTTTATTGGAGGTTCAGAGGACGGTGAAGGTTCAGTCAGGGGGCGTAACAAAGTTTGTTTCAAAGTTTGTAAGGTTGCCAGATGAATGTTTAAGGGTTATGAAAACAGTGGACAGTTCAGCCTGCGGTCACGTCCTCAACAATGACTCGTGTGTGTGTGTGTGTGTGTGTGAGAGTGTGTGTGTGTTGGTGTGTGTGTGCGCAGTACCTGGTACTTCCTGAATGAGCACCTGGCTGAAGTCACAGGTGACGTCAGGCAGCAGGTATCGTCGCGGGTCGCCGATCTCGTACAGCAGCTGCTCCGCCACCGTGCCGAAGGAGACGAGGCCGCCGGTCTCAGGCGGTTTGGAGAGGACGAAGGAGCCGTCGCCGGAGCACTCCACCACCGGGAAGCCCATGTTGTCCCTGAGACCAGAACAGAGTTCATCTCAGTTTTCTATCAGACATTTGGTTTGTCAATGAAACTTCTTACGGGACTTCCACCTGTAACCTGTCTGTGAAAGCTGTCAGTCACTGAACAACTGGACCAGGACCCTCCTATTCAGGTGGACTGTCTGACCTGTTCAGATGGTCTGATGATTTATCAAAACTGCTGGTCAGAACAAAGACCTACAGGATCGTAGGAAAGGTAACCTTACACTGTGTGTTTTTCCAGCACACAAAAGTTTAGCTTCGATTCAAAACTTCTGAGTTATTTTCCTTCTGTAGAGTTTGTGTTGGAATTTGGACCTGGAAGCGGACAAATCAGTTTTCCCAGACATTTGCAGACATGTTGAGGTGTGTGTGTATAAACTCTGAGTCGTACCAGTCAGGAACTTTGTGCCAGTCAGTGAAGATTCCTCCTGTACTCTGAGCGCCACACTCAATCAGGTGCCCTGCAAGACTGACACACACATTCATATTAATTACAGCTTTATTTCTTTGAGGTTTTAGCATTTGTTTCATTCTTCTGATTTTCTGATCTATAATGGTTTGTTTACTTGATTTTGGTTGCAGAGGGTGTCGAATGCTGTGAAGCCTCTTAAGGAGTGTGATTGGCACGTTTCTGTGTGTGTGTGTGTGTGTGTGTGTGTGTGTGTGTGTGTGTACCTCCCAGCTGCCAGCAGGTCATAGTCATTCCTCTCCCATCCAAACTGCAACAAATAAAAATCCCACACAGAAGTTATATTCCTTAACAAGAAAATTGGCCCCCAAAAAATGATTCACCAGGGGTCTCATTTATAAACGGTGCGTACGTACAAAACAGGGCTGGAAACGTGCGTACGCCACTTCCCCAGCAAAGTATTACCTCTAAGTATTGTAGGCTTAAAGCCTTTCGAAATAATCAAACACTCGTTTGATTGATTTTCCCTGAAGTGAAACCCCCCCCCCCATAATTTCAGATAATTTCAGATAATTTGCGGCGCTCAAAAAGAACCATGAGTGAGGATAATAAACACAAACGGAGATTCTGTTTCTGCAAAAGAACGCCTCAACTATGGTGACAGGAATCATATTAATTACTTGCATGCAGTGCAATTTATTCCCATAAATAAGGTGAACAGGAGGACAAAATAATTTCAATTGATGCCGTTTTCAGTGCGTCAGTTGAGTAAATACGAGAGCAGAGTTTCATGTATTGATATCACATGTTTGTTGCCTTATCGAGCCAAACGGCGTGCGGATGTGATGCGCTGCTTGAAAAACACGATTTGGAAAAATCTTATTGTCATTTAAAACAAGTCACAGTCATATTTCTTTTAACTCACTGCCGCGTTGTTAAGTGAGTGGACTGTTTGTGTAGTCTAAATAAATGTTTAAACACAAGTGAGGGGCGTTTCACTGACCATTTATAGGCAACTATGGGCGTTTGGAGGTTCGGACATGGCGCTCCCTCAAATGCGCCACATTTCAACTTGATTGTGATTTATAAAGGAAACTTGCTTACAAGTGTGCGTGCGCACGGTTTAATAAGTCTGAATATTTTTTGGCGTACGCCATTCTTGGCTTTTGGGTGCACGTACACTTTTAGTGAGGTTTCTACGTCTTTTAAATGAGACCCCTGTTTATTTGAATCCAGAGTTTCTGCAGGGGTCAGCAGGTTAAAAATAAGACCATTTTAATGTAAAGTCGAAAACAATTTAACACGTGTTTTACAATCATACCAGCCAAAATACAACAGTATGTTGGAAAACCACTCTGTCCGAAACACAAGGAGGGACTGAATGATACTCTGTCACAAAAACAATCCCACTTTTAGTTTTGAGGTGTTTAAAGGCTCCTGACAGCCGGCAGTCACATGCAGAAATCTTTACAACGAACATTACTGCCTCCAGCAGCCAAGAGAAAGGAGTTAAGAGTTATGTAGCTTAAACTGGGATAAAAGGTCAGAGCATTAAGAGACACACACGTTTCTATCAAACATACGGTGTGCATGAGCGGGCCCAGAGTCACGGCGCTGTCCACACAGCGTCCAGTCACCACGATGTCTGCCCCGAGATCTAGACAGCGGCGGATAGGAACAGCCCTGAACACAGAGAGAGAGAGAGACAGAGAGAGAGAGAGAGAGAGAGAGAGAGACACAGAGAGAGAGAGACAGAGAGAGAGAGAGACATGCACCTTTTAGTTTCACTTGATGTCGTTGAACTGAGGTAAATATTTCAGTTTGGGAGAAGTTTTAGGCTTTTTTTAATCCAAAAGTTAAATTCACTTCAGAGTTTCTGTTTCGTGACACCTGAGTTTAATTTTGAATAAAGCGAACATTAAAGAGTGTCGGTGTGTTGGTACCCGAGGTAAGCGTTCATGCTATGCAGCGTTTTAGGTAACTGCTGTCTGCTGCCGTCATCCACCGTCCAGACCTCAGAGAGGCTGCTCCTCTGGGAGGAGGACGAGACGAGAGGAAATGAAAGGGGAGGATGGGGGGTAGGAGCGAGAGAAGAGGCAAGGAGAGGATTAATATAATAAAAAGATAATAATGATGATGTAATGGCGTCATAACACAGGCCTTACGTGGGGCATGAGGTCATCGCCGGTCACGACGGCGACTTTGAGATGAAGGCCAGCCTTGTTGATGACTTCCTGTATGGCCGCAGCACAGGCCAGAGGGTTCACGCCTCCTGCGTTACTGACGACACGAATACCTGCGGGGAGCAGAGGCACCGACTCATTTACATTGTGAAGGAAAAGAGGCTGCAGATTCATTTAACCAATCAAACATTTAAAAATGTGAATTAAAACCACTATAAAATAAGAATAAAACAAGATTAAATAAAATAATTATATAAGTAAGAATGAAATTAAATAAAATCTCAGTTAAAGGTCCAGAATATAAGTAATAAATAATGGAAAAATGGATTTAAATCCAATAACATAAACTAAATCTAGAAATAGAAAACACTGAAGTAGTGTGTGTTTTAGGAAAAGATTTAAAAGATCACGCCGACTCTGGATCAGATAAAAGACCTCAAGTATCTCATACTACGAATAAATAGACAGAATTAACCAATAAGATCCGAGTGTGAAGATACTTAAACTCGACTGGATGCTCAAACCAGCAGAGGGCAGAATCCGTCCTGTGGTTTCTGTTTAGTTCACTCACCCTTCCTGTGGATGTCGTTGATGAACGGAGCGAGAGCGACATGGACGAAGTCTGGAGTGTAGCCCAGATTCTACAAGAGGACAGGGACATAACCATCATCTGCTGGGAGTCATTATAGAGGAGGCAGAACGCAAACGTTCAATAAATGTTTGATTTAACTAAGTTGAATCACGAACAAATCAGCACTTATATTAGCACTATTAAGTTCCTTATTTTGTTGAGGAAGAGGGACTGAAAAAGGATTTTACTTAATTTTACTCATCCATATTTGTTGAAAAAGGATTTTATTATAAGTGATCCTTCGTTGGGCATCAAGAATTTGTTGTGACCATAAAGAAAAAACACAATTAACCATCTGGTTTCTTCAACTTTCACTCAGGAACAAAAATCAGCCTTTAAACTTATTATTAAAATTGTGATTTGACATAAAATTTTGGCCATATCGCCCAGCTCTACCACAGAAGCGGACAATAAGCTTGTAATGACTTTATTTGATGTCGTCTTAAGGTGAAACCACAAAACCCAAATCATACCTAAAAACTGCAGATACTTTGTTTAAGGAATAAACTTTAGTTTGATTATTATTTAGATTATAGGAATCAATTTTCAATCCGTCAAAAAATTATTAATATTTATATTAAAATCAACATAATACATTTATTTACAGTTTAATACAGTCAAGTATTGAAGAAAACGCACTAGAGTCAAAACATTGGTCTTGTTTCACTGCTTTAGTGCATCGCCGCCTCCCACTGGTGCAGTGTCGCCATCGCACACAGCCAAGGAAAGATACTATGTCTTAAACTGCAAATTTAAACATCTGTTTACACATTTCTATGGCAGAATATTTTTTTATATAATAAATAAAAAGGTTCTAACTCCATTTTGACCAAATGTGTAGGTACTGTGTTTTCCTCTTGTAGGGCAGCAGATCTCAGATCAGTTACACATGTCGATGCACACAACCCGTTCAGGGAGTAAAGGCAATATGAAACTTTACGGACTTTCAAGACTTCCGAAATGATAAAAGATTAAACTAGACTACACTTGGTGACTACTGAACAATGGTCCGTGCCTCAGCTACCATAACATGCAAAACTGCCTCCACACCAGCAGCACGCGTGTTATTATTAGGCGTGCAAGACGAAATAACTTGGTGTGTAAAGACATAAAGATGTGCGACTCACAGGCGTCTTGGCCTTGGCGGCGGTGAGCAGAGACATGGTGATCTCACTCAGGTAGTCAAACACCAGGAAGTCCAAATTCCCACTGTAGATCAACTGAGGCACTGAAAACACAGAGAGAAAGATTCATGCATGCGAACACAGTCATTTTCAGCCTTTACACACTGAACAAGAGGAGATTAAAACACTTGTAAATCACTCACACTTTGTGGATATTTGAACCCCAAGACAAAGACATGGTTTCACTTTTTTAAATATATTTTTCGTAGGGTCCAACTTTGTCGTTCTCATGTTGTTATAAAAGCCTGATTACTGTTACATACGTGGCAGAAGTCAAAGGGAGCATTCAGACCAGGAAAGTTCACTTGCTTTGGTCCGGACTAAATACATCGTTGTTTTTTTGTTTTGTTTGGTCATCCATTTATTGGACAGAAAGTCTGGAGCAGGACATTTTTGATTCACAAACCGAGCTAGACATGCTGACAGCAAAAAGCTCTGCCCGTCTGTCCTATGAGGTAGTTATCAGTGCAATTACATTTATTTTTTCATTCCACTGCATTTATCGGATTAACTTTTAGTTACTTTGTAGTTTAATAAAAGTTTTTATGCGTGTCATTTTATTTCAGAAAAGTTGTTGAACCACGCTTGAGACAGTCACACCACCACCGTTTTTACAACAACTGGTCCTTGTAAAACAAATAAAGCTTTAACTGTTAACTTTAAATCATGACAAAATCATTTTTATTCATTTTCCGTGACAATGAAATTGCCATGTCACGTCGACAACCCATATAGAGTACGCATATACTCAAAAAAAGATGTACAATATGTGTACTGGCAGTGAGATTTTGGGCAAAGTAAAGTTTCTGATGCAGAAGTTTTATTTGTAAAGTACAAGCTCTGAATACTTAACAGTAGGAAAACAGCAGCGTTTATCCAGCGAGTGTAAGTGAAATATATTTGAACAGGAGTCATGAAGTCACCAGTGGTGGAAAAGTGTCTCCTGTGTGGAAACACAGACTGAACACCTGTGCACAGGTGTGTTTTTAGCATGATGAAGCTAACTCACCTGCGGTGGCTGTGTCCCCCCAGAACCCGGAGGCGCAGCCGACCCGGACCGGTTTCGTGCTGGCAGAACTCGTGTAACCCCTGCGGCTGGTTTTGTGTTGATGTAATGTGCTGGAGGACAACTTAACAGGCGAGCTGGAGTGCAAAAACCTGAAGTTTAAAAACAAAGTGCGGCAGGCGTCTGGGCTTCTGCCGCGCGACGACCGCCTGAAGGCTGAAGGCGCGTGGCGGAGTAAATGTGGAAAACTGGACATTTTAAAAGTATTTACAAATAGAGAAGAGAAGAGTAACTTAGAGAGGAGAGGAGAGGGGTGAAACTACTCTGTCAAGTTCAAGGTGCACAGGTCCATCCATAAAAACAGTCCGACGGGAAACACGTCACAGCAAAGGGGTTCGGTCCATCCGGGTTTTCACAGAGAGTACTTTCCTGAAAGTACTGTAAAAAGTACTGCATAGAAAATATTACTTATGTAACGGTACGTAGGTATAATCAGGAAAATGTACTTCAAGTATTTAAAATAAAAGTACTCAAAGCAGAAAAATACTATTCTGTCATTAGATTAGGAGGTGTTCAGATGATTTAGTAAAAGTAGAATATATTCTTATTAAAAGTATTAAAATTAAGCAACTCAAAGATTTAAAATGCCCCCTGTGACTGTTATAGCCTACTATTATTATATCATTATTATATCATTAATCATGCATTAATGTAAAAGCAGGAATTCACTGCTGTAGTTGTTGAGCTGGTGCTCATCTTAATCTGTTTTGTATCAGACTGCAGCTAATGATTGTTTCCATTATGTATTCATCTGCTGACTATTGTCTCCATTAATCGACTGATTGTTTAGTTTGTAAAACAACAATTTTGAAAATAGTGAGAAATGCCGTCGCAGTAACCCAGAACTCAAAGTGACACCTTCACAATGCCGCATCCAACCAACAGTCCAAACCTCAACGTTATTAACAGACAATGAAGTTATTACAATCATGAAAAGGAAAAGCAGCAAATCTGCAGATGTGAGGAGCTGAAACCAACAAATGTTTCACATGAAAAATTACTTCATCAATTCATCAAAATACTTGCTAATTAGTCAATAATAATAATAATCATAATCTTTATTTATAGAGCACTTTTCACCATGAGACCATGTTAAACAGTGCTTTCACAAGTGCAAAGACAATAAAACACATAAACATATAGCAAGATACATGACAGAAGTAAGAAAACACTTAATAAAAGTTAGAAGGATCAGTCAGTCAGTCAGTCAACAAATCAACTCATCTGTACTGCAAAATATCTGATTTGTATAAATAGTAACTAAAGCTGTCAGACAAATGTAGTGCCGCAAACCTCAACTTTTTACTTTGGTACAGTACTTTTTTGTTTGATAAATATTTTACAACACCCACTTTATATCAGTAAATTCTTTTCCGATCAGGTACAAGAACGTTTCTGTATATGAGACCAAACAAATATCTAAATATATCTTAAAAACTGAAGATGTGTGTTTGTGTAGGTGTTGAACTACCTGCCCACAGTGCTGGTGGTGCCACTGGTTACCTGTGTCAGCTGGTTCCTGCCTCTTTCTCTTTCTCTGTGTTCGGCAGCTTCATCCAGCCCCTCGTGTACCTGATGAGGAGGGGAGAGTTTCCCACTAGGGCCAAACAGTAGAGAGCTTCCAGCGTTTCTTACAAGACTAGGTGCCATATTTAGTCACTTGATTTGTTTGGTCTTGATTTCTGCAGATTTGGGATTGCAGGTTTTATCTGCAAGAGCTGAAACACATTTTAATTGTCAGACCATGTAAATACACTGTCTCCTGCATCAGTGGTTTGGCATCATGCAAACAACTTGCTTGTGTCACTCCCATGCAAACAAAATCAACACAAAGAGAGTCAATCATTTTTATTAGGACACCTGTTCCCATCAGACAAGTTCAGAAATACATACTGCTCACAAGGTTGGTCTATTTTACTTTTTTAACAGATTTAAGATGTAATAACATTTAGAGTAAAGCTACTCTACTATTACTTATATTATCAGCAATTACTACCATTGAAACATCTTGGATTTAATAAAAAAATATTTACCTGGAACTCAATGACAATGGTTAATTATGTCTCCTGTTTTTAATTCATGTTTGACTTGACAGTTGTCCTTGTTTTTAAATCTTTTTTTAAGTCCACTTTGGATGAGTCAGCCAAATGTGTTCGCTGTGCAGATGCAGATAGATGAATATATATATGTTTGTGATGAATTGAAGGATGAAGAGTTCTTCTATACTGATGGAGCTAAATAAACCATTACCTTCTGAGCTCAGGAAAGGTTTTGGTGATTGGGCCCATACGTTGACAGAAAAGGCAAAGTGGTGCAGTTCAGTGTTTTATTGTACAGGCCGGAGCTGGAAGGCAAACAGGCAGATACAGATACAGGTAACAGGTCCAGGTCTATTGTTTTAAGCAAGGCTTAAAGTAATAGCTTGACATTTCCAGAAATGCACTTTTATATTTGCTTCAATCACTGAACTCACCCTGCCTTTATATAGGACAGACAAATCCAATTAAGAACAAATCTGTTCACATGAGTGGTTCTTGCATGGGACCCGGGAACTTTTCATTTTCCATCATCAGCACAGGTGATAACTTGCAACTTCTTTTAAGTACATACTGTAAAGTGTGCTCCCTTGTGTTTGTCTCCCTGACTCTTTTTGCTCTCTTCCACAGGCCATGTCCGTCAACACCTCATCCTCCCTGAGTGTTACACCTGTCTCTCCTCCCCTCTCCTCCTCCAACACCTCCATCTCTTCCATGTATGTGGAATGCATGGAAGTCACCGCCAACAATGTCGTCTTTGCCATGTACGTCGTTGCAAACGTACTCCTCCTCCCTCTCTATGTCCTCGTCCTCTCCATGGGTTTCCAACGATGGAGGCGTCCACACTCTGCAGGGCAGTCAACGAGCCACTCCGACTACTTCACCTACCACATCGTCACTGTGGAGATTTTTGGTATCTTTGGATCATTTTTCTATATTTTGGGCTTCTTCACAAATAGTATGACGGTGTTTTTGTTGGGGATGTTTGTAGCCGGCATTATTTTTCCTGGACAGACTCTGTTTCACCTCCTGACCTGTGTGGAGCGCTACCTGGCTGTTGTTCACCCCGTCACCTACATGCGCCTGCGAGAAACAGGCGGGGTCAGGATCAGAAACGTCAGCATTGTGTGTGTTTGGCTGCTGTGCTTTGGATGGATGGGGGTCACAAAATTGTTCTTGCCTGGTTTTCCTGCCATCCTGTTGCTCTGCATGCTGGGTGTTTCAGTAATTTTTATATTTTTCTGCTGCCTTTCTGTTCTCTGGGTTCTGACTCGCTCAGGGCCGGGGGAGGTGGGCGGGAGCAAGGAGCGAGTTGACCAATCAAAGCAGAAAGCTTTCCACATAATCTGTGCCATAATGGGAGCGCTGCTGTTGAGGTTTGTCGGGCTTCTGGTTAGTTTTGGTTTGTCCTTTCTGCACTCGATTCGTCAAGAAGATTCGTGCGCGTTGATGAATTTAGGGATGTTTCTGACTGTGCCCAGCAGTCTGGTTCTGCCTCTGCTGTTTCTACACAAGACAGGGAAACTGCCCAGCAAGCAAGTTTGCGTTTAAAAGACGTCTAATAGCCGTCTAAACACAGCCCAGGTGTCTAGGCTAAAACAGGGCTGAATTTGGGCTATCAGTGAAAGTTTAGTAGACCTCTAACTGTAGCCAGAGAATAGACAGCTTTTGAATGATTACATATATATAATAGACAACAGAATAACGGCCAAATTATCTGTTTTACTCAAATATAACAATCCATCCAAACAAATTAAAGGTTCAGTGTGTAATATTTCTGAGGATCTATCGACAGAAATGCAATATAAGATCCATAACTATGTTTTCAGTGGTGTGTAAAGACCCTACATAATAAACCATTATTTTTTTATTACCTTAGAATGAGACATTTATATTTTCGAAGGACGTCTCCACGTTGCATCTTCATGTTTCCACAGTAGCTGAAAACAGACAAACAGCCTGCAGAGCTCATTTCATCACTACGTTCTTCTTATTCTACTTCTTGTAGAATTCAGGCAGTGCAGACACTCGTCACTATGTTGAATACGTGCATTCAAAGAAGAAGAAGTAGTAATAATATACTGCAGGGATCAGCAAATGAGTTTTGTATTGGAGCAATTTCTTTTATCCATTAGGCAACATATTTAAATTGAATGTTGTGGTGTTTCCAGTTGACTGAAACCGAACCTGAATGCATACTTTAATTACTGTTTGAGTCAAAGTTTTCCTCTTCTACTGTGAAGATTTCTGTATTTGGTAATTAGAACTGACCAAGTAAATACACAAGTTAAAACAACCCACCAAGGCTATGTTGATTTCTTTGTCAACATGTAATATTTGGGTTGTTGTATATTTGTGAATCTATATATTCATATTTGCATTGTAATATACAGTATTTGACGTTTATTCATATTTGGATTGTTGTATATTATATTTGGGTTGTACATATTCAGTTTTTTTTTATCAGTGGGCCTAGTAAGTTTCATTTCTATATTTGTTTTCTTGTGAGTTCTTACACCATGCAAAGCTGTGTTGATGTAGTAATGGTTATTTTTTTATTTAAAATAAAAAAACGGCATTAGACCTTACACCATTATCTTTTAGTATCTGCTACCTTGTTGTGTACTCTCACTCAATGATTACAGAAAAAGGTGTGTTAATGATATGAGGGTGCTCTGTAGCTGATCCTGCACCCTGAGCAGTCAGATGGAAATAGATTTTCCCCGCCGAATGTGTAAAGCGATGATCGGAACATGCAAAGAACACAAAGTCTTGTTTATTTGCCTTCAACAGGCATCAATATCTCTCTGGTTTGGCATCATGCAAACAACTTACTTGTGTCACTCCCACACAAGACAAAACCAACATAAAGACAGTCAATCATCTTTATTAAGACACCTGTTCACAGACAAGTTCAGAAATACATACTGCTCACAAGGTAGGTCTACTGTACTTTTTTTTAATGGATTTAAAATGTAATAACATTTAGAGTGATTTCAGCAATTGCTACTATTAAAAACATTTTGTATTTAATTAAAAAAATAATGACCTGGAACTCAATGACAATGGTTAATTATGTCTCCTGTTTTCAATTCATGTTTGACTTGACAGTTGTCCTTGTTTTAAATATGTTTTAAGTACACTTTGGATGAGTCAGCCAAATGTGTGTGCAGATATTATTATGTTTTTACAGTTTAAAATGAGAGATTTTAAAGTGTATTTAATAACAATTTTAATATGATAAGTTTTAAGAATTTGCATTTTTTAAAAC